AAGAGAAAGGAGAAGGAAAGAGGGAAGGAAGGAAGGATAAGAGAGAAAGGGAGGGAGGGAGGAAAGAAAAGAAGAAAGGAATAAGAGGGAAAGGAGAAGGAAGGAGGGAAGGAAAGATAAGAGAAGGAAGGTGGGTTGGTAGATAGATACATAGGAAGGAAGGAAGGAAGGAAGGATAGAAAGAAAAGGGAGGGAAAAGAAAGAAAGCAAAAAGAGAAAGGAGAAGGAAGGAGGGATAAGAGACAAAGAAAAGGAGGGAGGAAAGAAAGGAAAGATGGAAGGAAGGAAGGATAAGAGAAAGAAAAGGAGGGAGGAAAAAGGAAGAAAGAAAACAAAAAGAGAAAGGAGAAGAAAGGAGGGAAGGAAGGATAAGAGACAAAGAAAAGGAGGGAAGAAGGAAAGGAAAGATGGAAGGAGGGAAGGATAAGAGAAAGAAAAGGAAGAGGGGAAAGGAGAAGAGAGGTAAGGGTGGGATAGCGGAAGGGAAGAAGGAAGGGGAGGGAGGAGAAACAGAAGGGAAGGAAGGAAGGAATCAATCTTCCCAACCAAACCATTACTCCGGGTCCCCAACTCCGGCCAGCCGCTGACCCTCCCTCCCTCCCTCTCCTCCTCCCCCCCTCTCTCCCCCAGGATGTGCCTGAACACCGCAGCCTGGAGTACCCCAAACTCTACGAACCGGGCCAGCTGAACCTCCTTTTCAATAAGCGGGAATTCTTCATCTGCATCGCTCAGGGCATCTACGCCTCCATCTTCATGTTCTTCATCCCGTACGGGGTCTTTAGCGACAACGCCCTCCTGGCCGACTACCAATCCTTTGCCGTCACCGTGGCCACCTCCCTGGTCATCGTGGTCAGCGTCCAGGTGAGTGGCCGCTCTCCCCTTTCCCCGATCTCTGCCAGGGCACTGGTGTGTGTGTGTATGTGTGTGTAGATTCGTTGATGTCTTCTCCTCACCCGTCGGTGGTGGGGGCAAACGCCCCACTCACTTTGGATCAAGGCACAAATTAGGCGGGGTTTGGCTAAGGATTGGCAGGGGAGTGGCATTTTGCCAAGGCTCCTTAGAATCAAGCTCTAAGGGCTGAGACCGGAGATCTCCTGGTGGTCACTTTTTCCTCTCCTTTTCCACAGATTGGCCTGGATACCGGATTCTGGACGGCTATCAACCATTTTTTTATCTGGGGCAGCCTGGCGGTTTATTTTGCCATCCTCTTCGTCATGCACAGCAATGGCCTCTTCCAACTCTTTCCCAACCAGTTCCGTTTTGTCGGTGAGTCTGGATAAAGATCGATGATTTTAAAAAATAAAAAAAATACATTAAAAAAACAACCAGATTTTTAAAATTTAAATCGCATTTTTTAAATTTAAATCGCATTTTTAAATTTTAAATCACATTTTNCCGCCCTTGCTCCTTACCATCCTTTTAGATCTTCAGAGCTTCCACGCACAGGCACAGCACATACAATGCCTGCGCAATGCTCCACTGAGCAGCTGGAGCGTCATGGAGGCTGGGGAACCACCAAGATGCATGCATGCACTGCGCGCATGAGCGCACACGCTGCATGCATCCATGTGGACACAGGCAAGCCCGTTCCAACCGTACCAGTTAGAATGGGATTTGAAACCCAACATTGGTTGCAACCCTCTAAATTGATTATCATGCCATATGGCGAGCTGGAGATTTGGGCAAAACATCAAATATGAATGGCTCAGGAGGCCTATCCGCAGCACTTATAACCAGGCGGTCGTATTTGTCTTCAAATATCAACAAAAATGATTTTAACCATTATACACTCACATCCCACAATTGTATTTATTTAAACAGCTAAGTTGTGGGTCACTGTAATTTGTGACGGAGCAGCAGATTTTAAGAGCTATAATTGCATCCTCGGTTAGCAGTGCAAAGTGGTCATTTTAGTTAATTGCTTATCTATTCCATGGTTTTTAAGGCACGGGGAATCTGTCATCATTCTCTGTCCCATTTGCCACCCCCCACACCCTAGGTTATTAAGTTGCTTTTAAGGCATATGCTTCACTCTCCCTGGACCAGCTACTTAGCCGTACGTATAGCTAATGTGGAAGTGCAGTGATGTTGAGCTATTAATGTGCAAGATGATTGACAGAATATCCCACTACTCAAATATAGCCTGTGACTTCCCTCATGAAAATCTTGGGTTATACAGGGTTTGCGTAGCCTGCGAGAGCTAGACACAGACCTCATTTGGAACAATATCCTTAAAAACAAGAAAGGAAGAAACCCACATAATTTTCCACTTCGGCAGTCCCTGATTGGCTCTCTGAGTATAGAGAACCAGAGGGATAGCCTTTTGCCTCCCATCTCAATAATTTGTTGGCTCATTAGTATTCATGCCTTAAAGGGGATCTTGGAACGTTAGCAGGTGTAAAATGTGATTATCTCTACCCCTCCTCCAGCTACCCTGATACCACCTGACACCCCCTTTGTCATTAATCTTTGCATGTTACTTCTTCCCAATCCCTATTTCCCTTGTCTCTTGCAAACCAAAAGGCGAATGCACTTTTAATGGGATAGCTGTTTTCCGGCTCCACATCTGCTGGAGTTTAGTGGAAGAGAAAACTTTCTCATAAAGGTTTGCTGATAGAGCACAACTTTCGGCTTAGCACTTTCAAAAACAATCTTGGCATACTTTCAAAAACAAACAATATAATGTTGATCTACCATATTTTTTTTCTATTTTTGATCAGAAAATTTGATGAGAATAATAGAATAACAGAGTTGGAAGGGACCTTGGANAAGTATATTGTAACTCTATTTGGGGGTGGGGAAAAGGCCCCACAAACATAGAACAGTTCTAAAGACAGGCGAGAAATCTAATTCCTTTCTAATGTTGTATGAAGAAGTCAAAGGTTTGCCTTCTTGAAGATAACACCAATTTTACTAGACAGTGTTTTGAGAGCATTGGAGAATGATCTGATCAGCAACAAAGTGAAAATTGAAACAAAGAGTTCACCCATCACTAAATGCTCCTCAGCTTGACCTTTCGCTTCCATTCCATTGAAAATAATCTTGCCTTTTGTATACTTCTTCTGCACAACAGGAAGGAGGGCGAGAGACATGTTTTCTGCCAAGCAGCAGAGCAGAGGGATCTCTCTTGATAAACATTAAGGATTCCGTTAAATGGAGGAAGGAGTCTTGGATGAGAGGGAGCCTCACCTCAGAGACATTACAGATTGTGGCACAGTATTTAAGTGGGCTAAAATTAGAGGGGAAAGAAGCACCATCTAATTGGACACGTGTATTAATCATAGTCCGTTGCTCAAGTACTTCACCCATTAGAATGTGTTAATTTGGTAATTACAAATCAGAGGTGATGGGGAGGGAAAGCGGGAAAGAGGAGGGAAATTTCTCGTTGTGATCTAGAGCTCTTCAGTTTTTCTTTCCGATGTTGTGTAGTCTGGTGATTTTCCAGGGACGCTTCTCATTAGCAAGGTGACATTTTGCTACCTCTCTGGCAGCAGGCAGTAGATGGATATACAGTACTTACAAATTTAGATTAAACCCTACTGGGTTTGCATGAAATTGCAACTTCTGATTTTGTTCTCGTAATTGCTAATGTAAATTAGAGAGTGGCTAATCCCTGGTCTATTGTGCATTTTCAAACTTGGAGAATACAATAAATTATTTCTAAATATTCTGTTGCCTTTTCTCAAATCCTATGAATAATGCATGTGTGTTTAGGGTGGGGATTATCTGTTGTTTGCTTAATGATAAATTTTACTCACCAACCGTACACATCAGTCTTCTCCATGATATTTAAAGGATGGCCTTTTGTCTCTATCATGACATACCAGGTCATCTGAGATGGAAACAGAGGATTTTGAAACAGTTGTAGTATGATAAGAAAAGAGCATTTTCACACAAAGTGGGTATTAAATAGTTCTAGATTAATATGCATTCTTCTATTTGCTATAAATTAATTTTCTACATCTCAGTTTTATCCCCTCATGCTGAATGCAAGGAAAATGTTTTTCTCATTTCACAACAATGAGTGAAAAGATTTTAGAAGGGGCTGGTTGAGAAGCTACCAGGGAGGGAAGGAGGGAGGGAGGGAAGGAAGGAAGGAAGGATAGATGGATGGATGGAAGGAAGGAAGGAAGGAGGGAAGGAAGGAAAGATAATATAAGACAAGAGGCATCTCTCAAAAGCATATATTTCCACCCACAAAATTTATATTTATATTTATATTGATAAAGTAATTTTAACTTTGCAGATTTGCTTTAAAAAAGACTTCATTTTTGTTGGTTGTTCTTAAGATCATATGGCAAATTTTTGAATGTCTGAGGTGGTTGGGAGCACAAAAACGCTGGCTCTAATGAATGTAAAATTCATGTAATTATGAATACTGATCATATTATTCCAGTCATAGCCATTAATTTACAGATATTTTGTTACATATCCAACTCAATACCATTGAAGAATTCACATAATTCACTTTCATTCAGGCTTGTGTCAGTTCTATAGGATTGGTTGGCTAAACTCCAGTACCATATAGATACTAAAAATATGCAGAACATCAGCAAGTGTTTGAATGATTATAGTATTCATAATCAGGGGTTTAAAATGGTAAAATATGCATATTATCAATCTCTTTCAACTCTGAAGTGGATATGAAGAAATGATCACACTCTTGTTATCATCTTTTCAGTAATGAATACCATTTAGAACTACATAATCCATAAGCATTTACCGAAATCTAGTTTTCACTTTTATAGCTATTGTCTTCATATGTGTAAACAAAAAATAACAATTCATCCAAAATGAATTTTAAATGGCACCAGCTAATGGGTAAGACAGGCAGACAAAGATATCACTTTGTGTTTTCCCTGCCTATGTATTTAATGCTTTCGACTTGGTGAAAATGCTAGAAAAGGAACAAGTAAATATTGGCTGGGTATGAGAGCCTGGAATAAAGAAGCCAATTTCCATAAAGGTTCAAGGAAAGAAAAGCTCCTTTATTTCTGTACAGAAGCAGAAGAAAATGCTTCTGAGTTTCACACCCAAGATGCACATCAGAAATAAGGCTGATTTTTACACAATTTGGTACTGGAAACAAAAGAGAAGTGTCATGATAGCAGTCTTCCAATATCTCAGGGGTTGCCACAAAGAAGAGGAAGTCAAGTTATTTTCCAAAGCACCTGAGGGCAGAACAAGAAGCAATGGGTGGAGACTAATCAAGAAGAGAAGCAATCTGGAATTAAGGAGAATTTTCCTGACAGTTAGAACAATTAATCAGTAGAACAACTTGCCTCCAGGAACTGTGAAAGGTCCAACACTATAAGTTTTAAAGAAGAAATTGGACAACCATTTGTCTGGGACGCTATAGAGTTTCA